AATACTTCTCAAATTATTCTAATTTGAAGAAAAGGAAGGAAGGCTCCCAAACTCTTTTTTATGAAGCCATCATTATCTTGATACATAAACCAAATAAACACACAAGGAAAGAAAATTATAGACCAAGTTCTCTAATAAGCAGAGATAACAAGATTTTTTTTTTTGCTTTGGTTGCTTTTTTGTTTTTGCTTTTGTTTTGAGACAGAGTTTCATCCCTTCATAATACAAGCTCTGGAGAGACTATGGATAGGGGGAACATATCTATAAACTAGAACTACAGTCATCATCTCAAATAGAGAAAAAGTTGATGAGAGGGTTGGTGACATGGGCCATGACAGGATCCTAGTAGCCCAGCCAGAAACCAGGCCTCATTTTTAGTTTACTGGAACTTAGCAAGCTGTTCTCAGAAAAATCCCAACTCAAGGATAACAAATTAGTAGGTGCCCCACAGCCTTCTATAAGCTAAAGGTAGCTTTCCCCACCCTGCTACTGAAAAGTCCCTAGCCACTAGAGCCACTCCAAATCCTATAACAAACCATAAACTTTTTGTTTAAACACACCAATCATCCCCCAGACTAACCTTCCCTCCCTGGAATTCCCCTAACCTTACTTAAAAGGAGTTTGTGAGCTTCTCTGGAGGTCGCCATTTTGCAACTTTGTCAGATAATTTGACCCCAGTGTGCTGGAATTTTTATTCTTGAGAAATTAAATGCTCTTATTGATTGTATACATGTCTGATAGTCTTTTATGGAACTTCTTATGGACCCTTACAGTTTACACATTCCCTGCTAAGATCAAGAACAACACAAGATATCTACACTTAGATTCAGTATAGTGCTTTAAGTCTTAGCTACACTCATAATTGGTTTAGTGAAAATCACATTGAGACACTCAGATAATAATATTTCTCAGGCACGAGCCAATAGGCCAAAGGTCTTTGAACCTTTAATCACAGTGATCAAATGCTAATATTTTTACAATTTTCATTTTCTCTTTTTGGTATGCACACTTAGGGTTCTGTGTGGAACTACTTCTGGGATGTTTTACTCTACTAACTACTGCTCAATAAACTCAAATATCATCTCTTCAGAAAATCTTGTTTATATTTCTGGAAACTTGAGTAGTCTGCCCATGAGCCATCCTTCCAACTCTACCACTTATCTTCAGTTGCATAATTCGCATTTTCCCTGTAGCTTTTGTTTATATTTTGCAAATGGTACTTGTTTTAGGCTCTGCTTCTCTCCTGTATCTCTGTGTCTTCCCCAAACTTTGCTTTTTATTATTTATTTATTGTTTATTTTTAACTATAGATGTTTACCTTGGTGGAATTCTTTAAAACCATTTTAAACTGGTGCTGTTGGATGGTCTTTCTGTATGCTGTGAATACATGTTGCTACCACTGGTTAATAAAGAAGTTACTCTGGCCTATGGCAAAACAGGTTATACCCAGGCCGGAAATCCACACAAAGATATAGGGAGAAGAAAGGCAGAGTCAGGGGAGATACCAGCTCATTGCCCAAGGAGCAACATGCCAGCAGACCAGTAACAACATGGCTATGTGGCAAAACATAGATCAACAGAAATGGGTTAATTTAAGATGAAAGAGCTAGCTAGCCAGAAGTCTGAGCCATAGACCAAACACTTTGTAATTAATATTAAGCCTCTGACTGGTTATTCATGTACCAGCGGGCAGGAGAGATTTATCCATCTACAACTGGTGACCACACATGGTGGCAAGCGTTTCCACCTAAAACCTGAGAGAGCTTAAAAAGAAATTGTAGAACGGAGCTACCAAGAGCTTCCTAATTCATGTTGCTCATGACAGGTTGTGGTACAGAGATGTGTCTCCTGGCAGACTTCAGGGGCAACGTGGTGGTCTGCCGCAGTCTCTTACAAGCCACAATGAAGAGAGGCTTCTCCCAGCCACTACCTGCAGGCTTGGGAAGACAGCTGAAGGCAAAAAAACACAGGCATGTTACTTAATACTGCTTCTCAAAATTGAGGAAGTAAGCATGACTCATTGGTACCTGGACCATTTTGAAAAGTCGAGGGAGGCAAAGCCAGCAGCCAGGTCACTGCTTCAGTTTTAGCCATGCAGCTCAACAGTTTAAAAACTCTCCTGGTCAGAAAAGGATTAAAGATAGACAATATAATAGACTCAGATATTTTAAAAAAATGTTTAAAGATATACATAGGCTTGGGAGAGAAAAAGAAAAAGGATGAGAAAGTCCTTAAAAAATAGAGTAATAAAAAAGCCACATAAAGAAGGAAAATACACAGAGAGTCTGGATACTGTATGCTGTTGTGTTGTCTTTGAGATTTTTTTTTTTTTAACTACAGAGAGATATTTGATTGTGGAGGCTGCTATAATGCACTTCCTGTTTACTTAGATAATATTATATCCTTCTGGGGTCTTTGATGAAATTGAAGACTAGATACTTGGTTATGACAAAAGAAAATTAGGTGCAAAACTTTAGACTTACAAAGATAAGATAGACGATAGGATATTTTCTTTAACTTTGCCAAATGCAAATAGACTAGATATTGTAACTGCAATTCTTGCTTGATAGTTGTTTTGTTATATGCAATTTTGCTGTGTTAAAATGAAAACCTTCCTTTTTGATTAAACAGAAAGAAGGAAGTGCTGTGGAATGGTCTTTATGTATGATGTGAATATGTGATGCTACTACTGATTAAAAAAGAAGCTGTTCTGGCCTATGGCAAGACATGTTATAGCTAGACAGGAAATCCAAGCAGAGATACAGGGAGAAAAAAGGCAGTGTCAGGGGAGACACCAGTCTGCTGCCCAAAGAGCAACGTGCCAGCAGACCAGTAATGCCATGGCCACACAGCAAAACATAGATTAATAGAAACGGGTTAACTGAAGATGAAAGAACTAGTTAGCAAGAAGCTTGGGCCATAGACTAAACAATTTGTAATTAATATTGGGCCTCTGACTGGTTATTCAAGTACTGGCAGGTGGGAGAGATTTATGTCTACATTCTTATTTAATTTACTCTGGACCTAGTACATACTTTCTCTGGTCCTGTAAATTTTGTCAAAACCCCATGATTGGGGTGGTCATAGGTTTTGGGGGGAAAAGGGAAGAAAATTTGACATGCTGTCAAAATATAAACATATATTTATGTTTGTACTCATAGTTTATTCTGCTGACTACTCTGAGCATAGGAGGCTTTTCCATCATGTAGTGCCTTCTTCTATTTTTTTTCTACATTGTCTTAAAGTTTGTATTTTTTTTCATTTCATTGTTAACATCTCATTACTGTTTTGCCCTTGTAACCATGAGTCCATTGCCAGTTACATTTGGCTTGTCTTTCCTGCTGTTATTCCATAGTAAAGCTCATGAGACATCTTGATCAGTCATATTGATTTTGAAGCTTTGTTGGATGCAAATGATTGACTTAAGTTTCATCTCAGTGCGGGTCAGATGCTCACCCCAGTATATTGGGACACAATAACTTTCTGTGACTTCATTTTCCCAATGCCTCGATTCACAGAGGCCAGGGATTTAGGGATGTGTAGTTTGCAAGTTAACACCATCAAAATGTTATGTAGAAAGAATGTCAGAAATACAGTCTCTAAAATCCTCAACCCAGACCCACTGAATGAAAAACTTTTGAGTATTTAAAAATAGGGGGTCTGTTTCATTTGTATTTTTGACAAGCCTAAAAGGGCTCCTAGATGTCTATAGACAATAGAGACTACTTAGTTTTCAATTTTGCAATATTCCTTCCAGAAAAAAATCCTGAATCATCAAAATAGAAAGATGAGCACAAAAACCAAGTCCTCAGTGTAATAAAGAATGTCCACATTTCTAAAAAAAATTAACTATATAAAGAAAAAACATGAGTAGATGTCTATCTGTGATTTCGAAGTGTGCAGCCCTAACCCAGCTCCTATCCTACCACCTGCTCTTTTCTTTAGGGGAGCAATTGAACCTTGAGGACATTTAGAAAAGGGGTCAAAGAAGAAACTGTAGATCTCTCTAAGTATACTAATGCCCGTCTTAAGTCCAAAATCATCAGGGAAGAAAAAGATCCAGGTAGTCCAGAGCACAGGCCACAGAAGGACTTAAAAATACATGCAACTTAAAGATCCTGTCTTCAAACACAGATTCTGAGAAAAACAGCAAGAAAAAGAAAACCTTTAATGATGGATGGGAAAGCACAGAGCTAATAGATCAATTTTCTAAAAGAAAATTATTTTATATGTATGATTTTTGCCTTCATAGATGTTTATTTACTATATGTAAGCCTAGTGCCTGGAGAGATAAAGAAGTATCAGATCCCTTGGTAGTGGAGTTACCACTACATTTATGAGCTGCCATGTGGGTACTAGGAACTGGACATGGGTCCAGGAAGTCATCATGTTATCATTCTATTATGAGGACACAGTGACCATGTAGCAATCTGCAAGCCAGAGAGGGTATCCTCAGGAGGAGCCAAGTTGGCTGTCAACCACCTTGGACTTCCCAGTTTCTAGAGCTCTGAGACATGAACTTTTATGTTTAAACTACATGGGCTATGATATTTCATTGCAGCAGCCTGTACTAACTGCTTATGTTACTATTAGTTCCTAGGTGCTTGTAACAGCATTATGGTTATAGAATGCTGTAAGATTGTTTCAAAAGAAAAAGACATGCCTAGCCCAAACCTCATAAGTTCATCATTCAGTGGTTCTCAACCTTCCTCATGCTGCAACCCTTTAACATAGTTCCTCATGTTGCAGCGACCCTCAGCTATAAAATGATTTTATTTCTACTTCATAAATGTGATTTTGCTACTGTTATCAATTGTAATATAAAGTCTGTGTTTTCTGATGATCTTGGGCAACCCCTGTGAAAGGGGTCTCAACCCACAAGTTGAGAACCACAGTCCTAGTTGATCATAACAAAGTTTGAGAATGGCTGGTAGTTAACAGCCCCTGCCTCTTATTATTTTTCTCCACAAAGCTGATGCTCATTTATCTATATTTTGTAGATGGATCTGTAACTAGCAGGGTACAACTTTCACTGTTCTCTGCATCTAGGGACTGTAGTGGCTTTTGCTTTATACAGTGAAACATTGAAATTCACTTTCAAAAGTCTTCAAAAGGTAAGAAGCTAGTGAACTTCTAGCCCAAGTTCAAGAGACAAGGGTTCCACCTATCAACAAGGAAATTAACATATGCCTTTTCCTGCTCCTTTCAGTGGCCTGGCCTTGCGTCTGGGAGATGGCAACCTGGGCACCACAGTCCCATCAGCTATGACTGAGAGGGATGGGGTCACTAGGTCTGTACAGGGTTTCTACTTCAGAGGCGCAGGGAAAGGCTACTTTCTTAAAACCAATCCTGATTGCAGAGGGGAAGGGACATCTACTAAGAGACTTTTAGCTCACCTTAAACAGGTTGGGGAACATTTCTAAAATTGTAGGGAAAAAATGTGCCCAAATTTTTAGGTGTAACTATAATACAAAATTAGAGAGAAATAAATGGGACACAAATTTAGTGTTTTCAAAAAATGTGCTAGATACCTGGTGTGGTGGTGCATACCTTTAATCCCAGCTCCCGAGAGGCAGAGGCAGGCAGATCTTTGAGAATTCCAGGATACCCTGCTCTACATAGCAAGTTCTAGAACAGCCAGGGATACATACTGAGAACCTTTCTCAAAAAAAAAAAAAAAAAAAAAAAAGTAGCCACTAGTGCTCAGGGTTACAGTGCATGCTAAGCACCTATAGGGCCCCAGATTCCATCCCCTGCACCAATTAATTGATTAACTAGTTAATCAGTTGAATTAATTAATTAAATGTGACAGGCTATCTACAGACCTACATAGGAAAAAATGAAGTTCTGTGATTCTTTATGCTATGCAAGAGATAGTTAACTCAAAAGTAATCCTAAACTTAAATATAAGATATAAAACTTTGAAACCTTTTTTAAAAAACCACAGAAATCGGTTTTGGTGATCTTGTTTTCAGTGAAACCTTCTTAGACAGAGCATCAAAGTCAAAATGGCAAAGCAAAAACTTGATCCATTAGACTATATCAGAATAAAGTATTTGTGATTCAAAGACAGTAAGAAACAATTTGCTGGGATGGGAGAAAAGTTTGCAAATTGCATATCTGGTAATGGAAATGTATCTAGAATATATAAAGAACCCTGGAAGTTAGTCATAAAGTGATAATGAACATATTTAAAAGGGTGGCTGAGGATCTGAGTAGGCATTTCTCCGCATAAGATGTTTAAATAATCACCAAGCACATGGAATGACATTTAACACCATTAGCCACTGGAAAATGTGAACCAAAATCACACACACGATGCCCCTCTTCACTGTAGTCTGCATAATCACAAGGCAGTTATGTGAGGAAATGAGAACTTCACACATTTCTTGACATAAATCACTATGATTTGTTTTTCTCCTACCATTCCATTTCAGGCAGCTTTGTCCTTATTCCAATGTGACATTGGTTATTGGCCTTATACTGTGGCAAGCATAGTGTGAGATGAACACATTGAAAACTTGATCCATTATCTTTAAGCAATACTCCTAATGGGAAGGAAAATATCCAAGCCAATAAAGTACTTATAGATAAGGGAAATAAAATCACATTACATTTCAGTTTCTCTCTATTAGACCCGTGTGTCTAGCCAATTGATTTGTAAGATCTCTTCTTTAAAAAAATCCATTGTAATTTCTTTGTAGAACTGTTTTAATGCAGTGAAGACATTTTTAGAAAAACTTTTATATGTGTGTGCATGTGCCATAATCCATGTGTAGACGTCAGAGGGGAACGTGTGGGAGCTGGTTTTTTCATTCCAATGTATCTGTCCCAGGGATGGAACTTAGATCTTCAAGGTTGGAAGCAGGTACCTTTGTACACTGAGTTGTCTCACTGGCCCCATATCAAGCACATTTGCCTTGAAATTTATCTCTTGCTTTTCTTTCTTTCTTCCTTCCTTTCTTCCTTCCTTCCTTCCTTCCTTCCTTCCTTCCTTCCTTCCTTCCTTCCTTTCTTTCTTTCTTTCTTTCTTTCTTTCTTTCTTTCTTTCTTTCTTTCTTTCTTTCTTTTTTGGTACTTTCATCTATCTATTGAATAAAAAATAATTCTATCCACAAAAGAGAAATGTAATTCCCAGACTCAAGTTGAAAGCACTGAGTAAGCAACTCTGGGACTCATGACCAACATTTTGCTTTAGGAAAGCTTTCTCAGGATTCTCACACTTCTAATTTGAAAATTAACAAGCACTGTTTCCTCAATTGAGACAGAAAATTCATCAAGTAGCACTGGAAAACACTTTCCAGTCACCCACCTCCAACCACCCAGCCTTTTACAAAGTCTTTCTAAGGCCTTTCATCTTCTCTCCTATGAACACTTGAGTTGCTTCCATAGGCAGGAGGACACTTGAGTAATAATGTCCTTGTTAGTGTCCCAAAGCAGTCAAGATCATTCAGAACCTCCCCACAGATTTCCTCTCATTTCTTCCAACTCCAAAATTCTATTATTGTTCAGCATGATGGAAGAAACTATCCATCCAGCTAGAATGGCTGATATTGTTGTTTCTCAAAGCAACCCAGAAGGTGTCTGTCTGGTTAGGAAGGGACTCTGGCACTCATGAGAGCAAGATTTGGGGGAGGAGGGCATGGCACGGAGGGATATTCCTCTTGTTGGAAATAGCTTATTCCAACCACCTCACAACTATGTTCCCACACATTGTTTCTTTCTTGAATTTAAAATTCCAACCTTCTTAAAAAAAATTATTGCTGACAAATTTAAATGTCCCTGCCTCCTGCTTTCCTCTTCACTTCATTCTCTTCCCATTACATGTCTATTGGATCTTGTGCGGGTCAACAACAGCTAGTTAACCTGAATTTTGAAAGAAGTGCTGTATCATTTAAACTTGACCAAGTCATTCACAGCAGAGAGTAAAGTGAGAGTTAATTCCTTTGAGAAGCATTCAATTAAACATGCTGTTCAGGTCCCAGCACCAACACATAAACAAATACATAATAATAATAAAATTAAAAAAAAAACCTCATCACACTTAAAGGCAAAGAGAGTAAAAGCAAACTTCTGTGCTGAGTCAACGTTGTCCATCAAAAGGAATATCAATTCATATTTTCTCTTCTCCTTTGTTTTGCTTCTGAGTAACCCAATTTCTTTGCCAGAACACTTTGCAATGCCTTGGACCTTCTCTACATGCTTTCATCTGGGAACTGCACAGAAGAGGTTTGCGGTTGAGTGAGGAAGCAAGGATGGACCTCAAGTTACGTACCTTAGCCAACCTTTAGAAAAGAGCAGCAATAAGCAAATGTAACCTGTTAGCCTCAACTGTGACAGGATTACCACAAGAGCTACAAGCAAACTAGCCTTATCTGCCAACTGTCATGGGTCTTAAGGGAACCTGGCGATTCTGTGTCTGAACTCAGCTGCTGTGCAGATATATGAGTCTTGCTTCTAATCCCAATTCTTAACTGCCTTTGCTGCAGGACTGAATTCTCTACAGCCGCCATAATCTGCACTGTGCTAAGGGACACCATTGTCTCCATTCCTCCCCTTAATTTACTAAGGGTAAAGAGAAAGATTCTGCCATTTATCACAAATATTTGGATTGTTTGCCTCCTCTTCACAGTTTAGCCCAGAAGACATGGATAGACTCAGGATTGCTGGTTTGGATGACTATTTCCCATGCTCAGTGATTTTAACCTCATGATAAAGTGGCATTTCATTAATTAACTCCTATTGTCTCATAGATCTAGAAAGACGCATTTGTGTTTTTCATTACACTGGTGGACAAAGGTGGTAGTGTTTAAATAATTTGGTTTTCTCTCTAAAGCAATTAGTTAAAATATTTTAATGATGATGGAATGGAAAATGGTTTGTATTTGAAATCCTTTTATTCGAACTTCCCTACTTAGGTATCAAACCCGGACTACTATTTCTAATCGAAATATTTTGGTGCCTCAAATCTATTCTAGTTTCTTGCCTTGTTTTTCATATCTAATGTATCCTAGGAATATTTACATTTCTTTCTGGCCCCAAGCCCTTTTAGAAGGAAAGAATAAGAGTAGAAACACTGCAGGATAGTTTCTTCCATCCTGCTGAAGGAAACGAGACGAAATCTGTGTGAAGCTTCTAAATGATCTTGACTGATTTGGGACACTGACAAGGCACACTTATTGAGTAATAGTGCAACCAGCACAATAGTAATCTGTCACCAAGATTAGTCAGATGTCCTCTGGCTATCTCTCAGGTTGTCTGTCTTAGAGGATCTTAGACCACTGTGCTGTGATTCTAATGGTTTCACGAGTTGCTAGGGAATATTCCTTCACTAAATCTGTTTCTCATTCTGCTTGTATCTGTTGTCTTCTTATATCTCATTCACCACACAAAACATAAAGCAATGGAGATGTGGAGAAAGACCTAACAGAGGTGTACTAGGGGACTACTCACTATGATGGCATGAGCAGACCCATGGCTTCATATCCTTTCTCTGCAGCATGGACACTTCCTGAGCCTGTCTCAGCTTTAGCGTCTCTTGTTGGCCAAGCACTGGTGATAACGCATATACTACTCTAATGGTTCATTCGTTATTTTTGTAAAGATCAGGCAGCACGTTCAATGCATACTAACACTCTCCATTTCTCCTCTCCCCACAACTCATGTCATTCATAAATATACTTAAGACTTAGAATCTTTGTGCTTTTATCGAAGATAAATGTATTTTCTTCACATAATATATCCTGCTTGCAGTTTCCCATCCTTCTACTCCTCGCAGCTCCTCACCACTTCCCTGCCCATCCAGATCCACTCCCTTTCTGTCTCTCATTAGAAAACAAACTGACTTCTAAAGGATAATAATAAAATAAAAAAGCTAAAAAGTATAATAAGATGAAAACAAAGACTAGCTTATTAGAATAGGACAAAACAAACAAACTGAAGGAGAAGAGCCCAAAAAAAGGAGCAACAAACAGATATAGACACACAGACCCACTTGTTCACACACTCAGGAATCCCATAGAAACATGAAACTGTAAGCCATATTATATATTCAAAGGCCTATAGAGTGAAAAGAGAGAATATGTATAAAAACGCCATAGGATTAAAAATAAAAAAACTCCAACATGACATTTTCAGACAAGGGATCTCCAACCATGCCATTGAGTTCTTTACCTGTTGGCCATCTACTCCTAGGCATGTAGCCTACCCTTAACAGTAGTTTGTTTCCCCAGGAGACTTAGAGTTTTCAACATTTTGACATAATTTCAG